TCACAGGCTTGTCGTTGCCTGTGCGGCGCGTTTTTTGCGTTGCCCCTGTGATGGGAAGCCATTTCGTGCTTGTGTTTGCCTTCAATGGGAACAGTATATTGTATTGGTTCTTGATTCGCGGAAACGGGTTTTATTTACTCAATCCCAAGTCACTCGGAGGATTATTATTTGACAATATGCAGTATCAGTTTCTGAAGGTGCCAGATAGGCTTGCTTGCTTGTGTTGAAATTTATTCGCCTTTATTGATTGGCTGTGATTTTTTCTTTTTGAAGTCAGAAAATGCTGTGACAATCCCGAAAACAGTGGAAATGAGTCGAGTGCGTTTGTGGGGGATCCTTTTGGCATTTTTAGCCATCAACGAAAACTTCTGCGATGCTGTAAACTATATGCAATGGAACTGCGACAAAACACCGGACACGATTACTAATTCTATGAAAACCCCTGGAGACAACGGATTCAAGATTTACGTCACCGGGAATCCGAGTGCTTATAGTCCTGGGAAGGCTTATACAGGTCAGAAGTTCAAATTGTATTATTGGAATCTTACCTTTTTTACTTACAATTTTCAAGGAAAAAGATTGGTAATAATTTATCGTGTGATCGGGTTTTCACTCATTTGAGATATACTGAAATACCTGGGTTTTCTCCGTTTCCTCAATTTCGAATCGTTTTCCAGAAATTCACATTTTAGAATTCGGGCCTTACCATTTGAAATTGCACTTTTAAAGGCAAAGGATGCTCAGTGAAGTTAACGTGTGATCGATTTTTTATTCGTTTGAGATATACTGTGAAATACCTGATTTTCTCCGTTTTTCTGAATCTTTTGTTGCTCTTCAGACGAAAAATTAAACGTCTCATATTTTTGATGAAGCTATCAAAAAACTGAAAAGTGATGCATTTCCTGTCGGTGCTCTGAGTGATCGCCAATAACTTCTTTCAAATTTCCGCATGTGTTCCACAGTTTTTCGAGCGTTGCCGGAAATTGCTGTTGAAATGAACTTGAAGCGGAAATATTTAATCGAGGAAACTGCTGGTTTATAATTTTGAAATTATCTCCGGTTGAGAGATAACGAATGCCTTCATGAGTGATCATGACACAGAATCCATAAAAATAGATGTGAGAGAAGAAAAATTAACTCAAAGGACGCAGCTGCGATTGAATATCATTATATCCTGGAATCCGATACTTAAAAATATGTATACAAACCATTTTGCATGTCTTCTGCGTCATTTCGTGTAAATGTGAAGGGAGAATATGCTTGCAGGCAAATCGAATGGTTTAAATCTAAATATTTATTGAGCAGATCACTTTATTGAGATTTTCATTGAAATATGATTCTTGTGTATGTAGGGGGTCTTTAAAGCCTATTTTTATCGACATTTAAATAAAGATAAGTTACTTTTATCCTAATTTTCTCTGAACAGAACATAAGCCGCACTAAATCGGTACCATATTGAATGAATTCTCTACAATTTGTGGATCTAAACTTGGGCTGAATTACTGTATCTCAATTTAATTCTTGTTGCACTATAAATAAAAAATCAACAAATTACGCAAAGGTAGGCAAACGCAGAAAAGTTCATCGCACGTGAACTGATCAGATCGGAGAACTTCTCGAAATTATCCGCGATATTAAATTTTCCAACTTACTCGCTGATTTTTGTAATGAAAAATGCAACCTTGAAGTGATTTAAAAAATATATATATAAAGTGATACTGTCTAAAATGTATCTTGATTCACAGTGAATATCGAAGGACAGAGGTACCAGTACGGGAGTCAGAAATTCCTTGGGTTCATGCTGGTGGCGCAGCCCGAGGGGTATCACGCAGGTGGGATCGTAGATGTCGGACGATTCGAGTTAACCGGCGATGCCATGACGACTTATTCACGCAAATGTCAAAATGCTGTCACTCATACCAACATTGTTCCCAAGACGGAAGTTTCTGTCCGCTGGAAAGCCCCTTCGTCTGCCTCCGGTTGCGTCATGTTCAAGTTGAGCTTCTTTTCGCGTTTCCTCGTCAAGAATCGTCTTACAAATCCTCAGGGGTTTATTATTTTTTAATTACATCGGGCCCTGGGAGAGAATTTCACCAGCTGTAACCACGTTTTCCCCAAAGTACATTCATGAAATAAGCCCTGTACTGGTACTATTTTCAGTCATCGTTCAGAATATCATTCCTATCCGCGGAAAGCAGTACTGCAGTCTTGTCAAAAAATCAAATTTTCCCCCATGGAAGAGCTATCACGTCATATAAATATAGATGACCTTCCCTTGAAAAATATTTAAAAATTCGTCATTCCAAAAACCCTACCACATCCTCCATCTTTGTCTACGTTTTAGCGGTTGTCTCAGTTCATTCGACTGCATGCTTATAGCAATATTCCCATCGCAAAACGTTCTGAGCATAGAGTTTTCCAATTGTAATTTACATTTATTGAAAGTCATGTATCAACAATAATAATCACCACAGTTTAGTTTTGGGAAAACATATGATGAAAGGCCGGTTTTTCATCTAGGGGTTAACACTTGATCATTGAATTACGGAAAAACGACAAAAAGAACTGAAAGTTACCCTTGTTGAAAATTATTAGGTCAGTAACATACTCTATACTCAGGCAGGCCTAGCAGAAAACTTGGCCTATACTTATTCACAAGAAAAAGTTTTGCATCATCGAGTTCATGAGACAATTTTTGTCACTATCAGGATGCAATAACAGTACATTTATTATTACATTACAAGAAATCAATCGAAATTTCTCTAATAAAATTCGACAATCTCGAATACTGTATGCTCAAACAGAGGAATTAATTTCCATGCCCAATAATGTTTGTTTCTAGCTTGCATGGGATGTCTCTCAGGGCGACTCATTAACGAACTTCTCTTTAAGTCATGTACAGACTCACCTAAGAATGTCTTATTCAACATTTAAAACGTTGTCTTCCTAATAACTATGTTTTAGGGCTATGGTTATCGAACGTCAAAACGTTTGGTACATGGATGATGGAAGTCTGCAGTTGGAACTGTGTCCCGACGTTGCTGGAGCTGTCGAATTGCCACCAGCTGTGCTCGACGAGTGCCAGGCTTGTGGGGAAGCCAAATACGAGGTCATCTTTGAAGGTCAATTCAAGACTCTCATGCTTTTCAAACCATATTTACTGGAGTACCCACGCGCCATCGCACCAGAATTTTTCAGTCAATAATTTTTATAAAATTTTAGCCTCGAATAAGATGCTCGCCCCATTTTAGTGAATCTAAAACTACAGAGCTTCAAAAGCAAGAACAGATTTTAACTCAGGCATGAATTGAGACTAATTTTAAATTATTTCCATTACGACGAGTTTTTCTGTTAAAATTGGTCCATAATTTCGCATTAGAATCAAATATAATTCACATCTAGACTTCCAAAACTCGAATAAAAAAAATTGTGTACCCACCTACGATGTGCATCCCGTTTTTTCCTCTCTCAATGCCGAGAAAAAGGTGCAGGTGGTACTCGAGTGAATACGGAAATTAAAAATTAAAATTTCGAACAACAAAAAATTGTCGTCATTCCATCCATGCATAGGTCGTTGGTCTCGTCATACACATCCGAAAAACTTCCCCAGAAACGAATGGTTGACACATTTTTCGGATCTTATCGGTGCTTCACATTCACCTCATCTCAAGGTTTGGGAAGCTGGGGGTTATGCTTCAGAAGGCCTCAAACAGGTTGCCCTGTATGGAATCACTCGGGGGCTCGAGGGCGAGCTCAAGAAACACGTGAGTTTTCAAACTCGGACTGCAAAAATATTTAGAAAATCCCCTGCTACGGTATTTTAAAAATTAATGTATGCCAACTTTTTATAACTAACAGAGTCGGCACATCAGAACGATCATCAAAGCCAGAGGACTGTGGCATCCGAAAGTGACCGGAAAAACGTACGCAGTTTTCAGAGTGGACCGGAAGCATCACTTGATGACGCTCGTTTCGATGCTCGGTACCTTATGACGACACAAATCACCATTTTTTTTCTCCCTTCAAATCAATCGAAAAACGCAACTTTCTTAAAAAAAAAAACTGTTCCAGGTCCTTCGCCCGATTGGTTAGTTGGTGTTTCCTCGTTGGAACTGTGTCAGAAAAATGGTACTTGGGCCAGAGAGAAGGTCATTGACTTGTATCCCTACGATGCTGGAGTCGATGCTGGAATTTCGTACGAGGATAATGACAGTCCCAATCCAGAAGCTGTAAGTTGAACATTTATTTTCTTTTTGCGGGACAAAAATGCTGTTTCAATTATTGTACTGATACATATAATCTGACGTTTCTCATCGTCTCAGCAAAAGATCAGAAAGATCACTTCCAGTTGGCCCGACAACCCCAGGTCCCCATTTTTCGATCACTCTGGGACCCCGATGAAACCTCTGGCAATCCTCACCGTGCGCCGACAAAAGGAGTACGAAAAGTCGGATTGTGGCAGTCGATCCGGGGGTTCGGGAGGCCGTTACAGTAAAGACAGACCACCGAAAAATAGATCCAAGGGAAAAAACAAGGGGAAACAGGGTGGTTTCATATCCGCCAGCGACCCAATAATGGTGCTCGGAAATGCCGACAGTTCAGGCACTCACATGTATGATAATGAGCGCAGTGGAGCCTTCCATCCGGCGGATCCTGTTATTGATGATGGCATGCATTTCGTGGAGACTCCGGACAATTCAGGCGATGCTTTGAGACGTGAGTTGAATCACTTCTTACAAAATGTGATGCTAATTCTTATAACTGCATTGTCAAGATATTGAACAGTCAAAATTTTCTATAATGTCAAATTTCCAAAAACCAGGAAACAAATTTGACTTGGTAAGGTTTCAAGTTAGGAAAACAAGCATTCCTGCTTGTGGCAGGAAACTCAGGAGAATTACAGGACATTGTAAATTGTGATATTCTGGGCCTTAATTGCTTCTTGGACCTTCTGCAGCGAAGTCAGAGTTTTTTGTTGTTGCAAATTTTGGGTCCTCTGCAGAATGAAATTTAACAAAATTAACCATAACAATAATGTGTGCAGGACGAAGTAGGGAATAATCCTGGGGTCTCTACAGAAAATCTTTACTCAGAAATGAAAAAGGGAATTTTCAAGGATGATTTTCCCCCTTGCTTTTTATTTTTACGTAATTCAAAGATTAAGTTTAAGCTTGAAAGCCAGGATCCCAGGTTGGAGGTCACTGCCAAAAAAGTTTGACTTGGGAATTTTACAGTGATTCCTTAACCTTGCATAAAATCTGAAGCTGCTGAAGCTCTGTAGGGGTTTCATAACCTTGTAAAAAAATGATCCAAATGGACCCACCCAAAAAAGTCTGATTTTGTCCTGGAATGAAAAGGACACCTGTGCCACAGATAGGGTTAAATGAGTTTTGACAGGATGATGGTGAACTTGGATGCAGGGGTTCCTTTTCCTAGTTAATATTTCACTGCCTTTCTAAACATATCAAGTTACTTTTTTATTGCTCTTCTCTTTCCTGTGTCAAGAAAATGATACCCAAAAATTCTCAGAGACTTTGAGTTATCCAGGTTTGTGAGGAATAACCTCCCAGATGGAGAGTTGTTTGACGCATTTTTCTAGGGGAATTCAGACAGGACTTGAAATAAATTCAACTTCGGGAGGTAGTTCCAGTTATGGAGGTTCAACTGTTGTGTAATTTTTTTTTTTTTCACAACACAGCCGAGTGTGCAACAACGTTATGGAGCACTTATTCGCAATGTTCCGTGACTTGCGGCGATGGACTCAGAAGACGTTCGAGAATGTACCAGAACCCAACTAAAGCACAAAGATCCGAGTGCAATCGACAACTGGAAGAGACCGAGATGTGTAGAGGCGTTTATCCTGCTTGCAAGTAAGGTTTCTTTTTTGTTTGTGGGGGCCAAACAACGTGAAAGGCGGAAGAGGACCCTCGGAAATTACCGTGCCCGGGCATTTTAGGGAATACATAGCTCGTTTCGTGTCGAGTTTTATTGCTTGGCTCTTGTTGACACCATACACAACCTTCTGTTCCAGATGTAATAAAAACAGGACCGTAAATGGAATACAGGAGCTCAACTTAAATAATTTATTTTATTCCGTTACAACTCGCTGGCGTTTAAGATAATATTGGGACACTCACCCTGTTCGCTAATGCAAATTGTCGCTTGGTCATGGCCGGGATGCTGGCAAATTAAGTTCCGAACAACTATTCCTACTAATTCTGGAAATCTGGACTCACTGTTGGAATACAAATATTTTGTTCCTTTTACATCAGCTTTCTCATCAGTAGAAATATGTTCAGCGGTTCTCCTCATATAACAAAACTACGTTAATCCAATTCCGGGATGCGTTTCGTTACATGGATTTTTCTTAATGCGAAACGCAATTTCTCTTACGGTTGCATTACAAATTAATTAATTTGCCCCAGAAACTCTCAAAAACCCATAGTAAACCTTGATACAGTACCTGCATATTATTCTAAATTTTCAGCAGAAATTTGTAAATTTAAAATGGATTAGAGTTAAATTAAAGTAATCCTGACACATGTGTGCTATTAACTTTCTGAATTTCACACATTTTAGAAGCAAAAAGAGGAAAACTATGCAGAATTAGTCTTTCATAATATTGATTAAATTTGTTGGAAAACTTCAGAAGTTTATTCCCAAAACTTGCCGAAATTGGAGTTTTCCAGTCAAATTCGTGAAGCAGTTTTGTTATATTGGTCACGTTTTCCCCCAAAAATTTTTAATGCGGATTTTTTTTGATAGAGTGCAGTATTTATAAATAAGCCGTTTCCGTATGCAAGACTTCTTCGAATCCATTATTTATTTCAGGTGAATCAAAGTAGGAAAATTGTATGAATCAAACGTAAGTTGAACAGCATCTTTGGAGGAAGCGTCCTACTTTTCAAGGCCATTTTTATTTTATAAAAAACCTGTGGCTTTTCTGTAATTCGAGCAATTATAATTAGGTTTTTTATTGCTGACTGAATGAACAAATATAAACAACGCAAATCTGCTGTTGAAATCGAGCTTTTCTTTCAAATTATTCTGACATCACAATTTAAATCATGAGCTGCGTATGGTTGAAGCCCCGAAAGTCTTCTGGTTCTATACTGGTCATCAAAAAGTCCTGTTTCTGACTGCCTTCCTGTCAATTGCCAATCCAAAGTTCAATCGGCCAGCCGATCTACCCAGCTTCCTTCGACGATCCGATGGCGGAACGCCTGGGCAGCCCAAACGGCAGGGATTACGACGATGACGACGATGACGAGAATCGGCCTGATGACGGGTTTGACGGTGCTGACAAGGACTACAACAAGAGGTGTGCCACGACTGCCTGGTCCAATTGGTCACCCTGCTCGGTGACCTGTGGGCACGGGGGAGTGCGAACCCGCACCCGCAGCTACCATTACCCCAGGGGAATCAAGGTCTGCAAAGAAGTGGTCAAAGAGGAAATGGAATGCGATGGACCCGTGCCGGAATGTCCTGATGATGGATCTGCTGATCACGTTCGTGTGCCAATCTTTTTTAAATGGTCATTTTTAAATTCCCCCACAAACGAAAAAATCTCCTTTTTAGACTACAGTATAGAAGTATAGAGTAACCGAGTTTGCCCGTACTATAAAAACCGTTTCATAATTCATGATTGAAATATTCGGGCTCTTCTGCGGACATCAGTTGGCATTTTAATCTTAAGATGGATTGTTTATACTTTGTCTGATTTTTCAATGGGACGAGAGTTAAAATTCCGCTTTCTATTGAATTTTCGGTGGTGCAGTACTGTGTGTCAGTGTAAAGTAAACTACTGCTGTAGCAACTAAATATCGAGTAGAATCAACAAACTTTTTCGATGTTGAAGAAAGGGCGTAACTCAAAATTGTCTTGTATTCGCACGCAAAATTGTGCTTATATTTGAGACGCTAAAAACAGAAGGGCATCCAGTATATTTCGTTCCAATTTTTTACATTCAAGTAAATAATTACTTCATCTCGTTGAGTTCTGACTTCGATCTTCTGGAATAATTTTAGACGGATTAACTTTCGTTGATCTTGAAAAACAGACATTTTCTTGATCTGTGATATTTAAAAAAAAATACTGCTATCAGAAAATGTTGCCCAAATATAAGAGATTCCTTCAACCTAACCACTGATCAATACACTTTCACGATGCGATAAATTATTCTTCTGCGGGTGTTTTTCAAAAGAAATCGTATTTTTAACCCTCTCCTGATTAACAACGATTGTACAGTATATTGCTTGAACAGTCGTTGATTTCCAGAAATCATGGTAGAAATAATGGCTTTCGACGAAGGGGTTTTTTTTTTTTTTACATCCTGTCAATGAGTTTTAGCTGGAATGAATCAGGCCTTATTCTATACACAAGAACTTCTTCTGTAAATTATGAACCCATGGAAAATTGTCGACATGAGGCCAAGTTTACCAGACCTCACGCAAACGCTCGAACTCAACGTACATTTTTTTTTGTCAAATTACCATTTGGAAAATCCTTTTTAATGCCTTTTTTCAGCTGTCCAGACCGGAATGCGCAGTTACACCGTGGAGCTACTGGTCACCATGCAGTGTCAGCTGTGGCAAGGGTGTCAGTGTTCGAACAAGAATGTACGTCGATGAAATACTTGGCACACGATCTTGCAATGTGCAGCTTCTCGAAACTGCTGACTGCAACGGAACATCGCCTCAGTGTTTCTTCACTGAGCAAACCGCTCTTGGTAATCAATCAAGATTATTCCAGAACATCTATTTTTCTCCCTGCACATTACAAATGGAACTCGAGTTTGAGATATATTTGAAATGTTTACAGGTGGTACTGTGCAATGCGACCCTAATCTGTTGCTGATGGATTAGGGTAAAATTGTAAAATGGTTGAATCCCAAAACATGGCGTAATATTGAGTAAGAAGAGAAAAAATTATAATAAAAAAATTGGCTGAAATAGGTCAAATTGTGGGGCAGAGGTTGAATTTTGACACAACCTCTCAGCAAATTCAACCATTGAATTGCAGGATGGGCAAATTTTTAGCAGTCAAGTTGCAAGGTACCACTTGTATCATGATTCAAAGAGTTTTTCTGGTTTGCCAGTTTGCCTTCTTGTGTACAGGTGGACTCTCACTACAATGAACTTCAAGGGACATGAACATATTTTTTGTATAACATGGAGAGAACCGTATGGAACCACTCAAGAATGTTGTACCTGTAACAATAAAGAAATTCCACCTGTAGTACAAACACACTTTTTAGGTCTTCAACATTTATGGCATCAACGCATATCATTAAGGCTATTCTCTTGAGAATCGTGTCGCTGAAAAAAAGTCCTACATTTGAATAAATTAGCGGCCACTTGACAAAAAAGGATGAATAAAAGGGACAATCGTGCTCTTTTGTCTCGTTGCAGACGATTCTCGCCGCATACCTGCGGAATCGGAGTACTGCGAACGAGCCAAAAGTGCGCGGAATGTTCACGAGTTTCTGCAATTTGAGTACTGGTGCAAACTTTCAAGAAGACGTCAGAGAAGGTCTAAAGCGAAGCGGGGCACTTCTGCAAAACCAAATGATAGTCTAGTTTTACCAACTGCTTCGCATCCCCCACGATTTTTGCAGCAACATCGATCGACCTTTGATTTGACCTCACTTTACTTGGAACTTGAAGATGAAACTTATCGCGATGGTAATCAGTTCAACTCCCCCAAGTGTTTTAAATGCTGAATTGCATTATTATTTTTTCATGCGAGAAAATATCTGTGCTTGTTGATCTTAATTTCCATTACATTCAATATGTTATTTTGGTCCACACACGTTTGCGTTGTAATATACGCTCCGAAATTGTCTTCTTCCATGGATCTTCAAAGCTTAGCTCGAAATATTGACAATGCGACGATTGAGGGAGATTAATGATTATATTTTTAGAAACGCGATTATCTGAGGTGGTCCAGAATTTCAAGAAAATGCTTAAGATTCATGGTTTTTGAGAATTCAAAAAATATTTGACGCAATCCATGTACGGTAGATTTTTCTGTGTATTAGGAACGAATTTTTCGACTTCATAAAGTACCGAAGACATTTCAGTTTTGATCCAAAAATTATCAGCAGTCCGTTGCTCATGAGGATTCGGCGAACTTTTGAGGAAACATATGTTTTTTGTAAAAATTCAATACAATGATGATGATTGAATAAACGAATTAAGACAGACGGCTCATGACGTAAGTCAACATAGCTTGAACTTTCTGAAATATGATAAATTCTGAGAATCCATCGCAAAATCGTGACTGGCAGCTTCACCGATGTTAAAAAAAGATTTTATTTTTCATATTTATCAATTGCATTACATTTTTCTTTATTTTACCTCGTAGAAACGTGTCTGCTCGCACAAGCCAAGGGGCCTTGCAGAGGCACGTATTCACGTTGGTTTTACGACGCCGAGACGAAATCATGCATGGAATTCAATTATGGAGGCTGCAAGGGCAATGGGAACAACTTCCTCACTTACAACGAATGCACGAAGAAGTGTCAAATGACGTTAGCCGGGGCTGGTTGTGAGTGTATTTAGAATCATTTCACATTATCATAACATCGGATGATGTACTGATGACGAACTGCATGAATCCGATTCCGTCAGCGCACAACGTAGGAATTCAGTCTCATCAGAATCAGCACCATCAGCAACCCAATGCCGGCTTCTCTTCGAAAAAGCGCATGCTGATGCAACAAGCCATGATGAAGGAAAAGCACATGGCGATGCAAAAGCAAAACCGGAGGAACAACAACAACAACCACAACGACTTTGACCTCAATGCTGGGGAAAACAACTTCTCTAATCCGGATTTGTCGTGGATGGATGACGTTGGCAACGATGGCAACTACGTCACCGGCATGAAAATGAATCCGGGCTCTGAGGATGACCGAGCTGCTCCTCCGAAGTCACCCGGTCGGGATTTGTATAAAATGCTCGGAGAAATGTCGTACAAACAAGGCGGCGGACATTTGTTCAAGAGCTCTATGATGTCTGGAGGACAGCAACAGAACGTGAGAGATGCATCCTATATATAAAAGCCTGATACAAACAGCGAAACGGTTAATAAACTTTACCCATATCNGAACAGTGCGAATTGCCGCTGTGCCGTGAGTACTTGCGCAACTACTTCAACTAATAACTTTTTGGCACAACTTCTTCTGAAGGCCTGCTTCACATTTCATTGTTGCTGTTATTTATCTGCGAGTGAAGACCAAGACCTCATATCATCTGTAAATATTGGGGAATAAATGTTGCTTATATGAGCCTTTTCTTCATAGTGTCAATATGCTTTTTTTTTTTACTTCCGTTCATCATAATCCAAGTCTCCTCACTTCCTCTGCATTTGTCTTGAACCACTTGCGTCTTTTAAAAAATGTATATAAGCCTTCACACTTGCCGGCATTGAAAACGCAACAAAAGAATCACTGCAACTTGAATAAAATTTCCACCATTATTATGACGAAAAGTCGAAGATGAGATTTGCATTTAATTAGAAGTGATTCTTTGCCTCGCTATTTAAAGATTACAAGACCATTATCTCTGCAGAAAATATGTCAAGTATACCATATACTCGTAAGTATGATAGGGTAGATTTTGAGCATCCAGAAAAGCACAATATGGACAGCAACCAATTTCGAAATTTCGGGGAAATTGCGATCTAAAAGCAAGAAAACCTAAAAATGTTACCAAGTAAAAATTGGAAAAAATATACATTTCCTTACAAATGTATGCCATCTGCACGGAAATTTGGCATCACATGTCCTCAATGAGAAGTGAGCCATTCAATAACGAAGTTTTACATTGTTTCCCACTAATTCGTGCATAGGGCACATGATTAAGACCTCGACGCGGTCTATACTCGAATTTCTTCGGTATATAGGACACACAGATGCTTTTAGGGTAATTTTTTGAATGAAAAGTGGAGCTTCGCGTGAGTGAAGAGGATTTTCTCTGGATTTCGAAGAAACTACTGTACAGTACTTCATTTCTCGTCTGTCCAAATATAAGTTCGAAGCGAAGAAAAACATCATTTATTTTACCGGTTGAACGATTTAGCTGACGATATTTTTTTTTCTAATCAACTCAAGTGGCCAATTCTCAATAAATATTTTGTCTTCCTTGACAACGGTTTCGCACTTGCAATCTTCGGTTTTTGTTTTTTACACGCACTTGGGCGACGGTGTTATTGTTGGCATATTTCAGAGGCACCCGAGGAAAATCTGAGTGACGAAGACGGCTGTCTGGTGGGGGCCTGGAGTTCCTGGAGCAGCTGTG